AACAAACAAAAATTACTAAGAGGGTTTTATTTTTTTTAAGTGAAATATTCTTAATATTTATTGAGAATTTGTTTAACTACCCTTTTTAATTGATAAAAAAGAGTTAATCTTTTTAATTTTTATAAGATTTTTTATTATTTATTTAATAATTATCATTATTTTAATGTTTTTAATTTAAATCATGTAAAGTATCTTTGTTTGGGTTGTAATGGATTTAGGTTAATGGTTGAAAAAAAAAGGATTGTTACTCATTCAAAAGGTTTTTTTAAATTTTATCTTTAATTACATTAATTTTTTTTATAAAAATATTTTTATAGCGATAAATCCGAAACGGTACACGAAAAATTCCGGTATCCGGTACATACCGTTCCAGTAACAAAACCGGTACGCATACCGGTACGGTATTGACTCCTTTGATTTGGAGACAATTTATTACTTTTAGGAAAATACTTAACGATAAAAGGATACCTTTTGTGATAGAATAATGAATTAAAATAAATGAATAATTATAGGGTTAAATTAGGAAAAAGAAAATTGTCTACATTAAAAAAAATAAAAAAATAAAAAACAATTTATGATAAACTCAAAGTAAAAAAATAATAGTTATTTTGGGATAGAAAGAATACTTTTTAGTAAATTTCTTACTATCTTATAAAATTATTAAAATTTTCCATAAATCTTGAATAAATATTTAATGGGTCTTTTAAAGAAAACTTAATGTGGAGGTTAAACCCTTATTAAGTTCAATTATATTCAACTTCTTACTAAATTTCTATAAAAAGAGATTTCTAACCAAGGTTTTTAAAATCGGACTGGATCGGTCGGTTGAACCGGTCGAACCGATACTTGGTAATAAAAATGGCTCGGTTCATATAAAAAAACTGTTTGAAGTCAAAACCAATCAAAACCGGTCAAAAACCGTTTAAAACCGATTAAAACCATTTAAAACCGGTCAAAATCGATAAAACCGGTGGAACCGATAAAACCGAAAAAACCATTGGTTCAATTTCTCATGCAATTTTCTTTTTGGTTTTTCCAATTTCACCCTCACCATTCTTTTCTTATACCAATTTTAACCCTTAATTTTAATGAAATTACAAAATTACCTATCCATCTCATCAAATTTCCTTTGTTATTTGAACCGGCCGGTTCATTGATTAAACCGATTGAACCAGTCAAACCAAAAACCAAACCTAAAAACAGTTCAATAACCGGTCCGATTTTAAAAACCTTGTTTCTAACTAAGTTATTATATATATTTAGTAACTTCAATCATAAAATAATCTTGACTTCGTGATCTCACTACATTTATATTTCAATTATTATGTATTTCACTTTAGTTGGACTTTAATAATGTTATAATTCAAAATTTTAATAAATAAAAAAATTTTATTTTATAAAATCTTTATATTCTAATTGACTACTTTATTTTATTTGATAGGAACTTGAAGGGAAGAAAATGAATGAAGAACGAAAATCCAGTTGGAAACAGAAAAAGAAGAAAGAAGATTTAGGGAAAAAACAAAGAAGAAGAAGTGGAGCGAAAAAAAAAAAAAGAAAGAAAAGAATGGAACTGAATGGTACAGCTGCCGGCCCATTTCTTTTGGTCCAACCAAAGACCCAATGCTCACCATTTGATCCTCCGTTAAAAACCTAAAAGAAACAGAATTTTAATTACTTAATTTAAATATTTTAATAAGATTATTATAACATTTAAGAATTGATAAAAAATAATATAAAATGTAAACTCTAATATAAAAAACTAAAATAACCCGCAAGCTAAAAAAATCTAATTTTTACATATTTTAAAATTAATCTCACAATAAATATTTTTAAAAAAACACACCCCACACTTAATGCGTTAAAAAAATTATAAAATTTTTTTGGGAACTACCCACTAAAATTTGTTTTTTGTTCCATCCACAAATGTAATGCACACCATCCTTATTCCCAAGAATCATAAATTCTCTTCCTTAACTTTGCCCTTTTAAAAGTCTTATAATAAGTGAAATTAACTCAAAAAGATGTTTGCCATTTTTGGAGGGAGAGGCAGTTGATATCTCCGCGCTTTACTTGCTTCTTAAAAAAACGAAAAAAGGAAAAACAGAGGGAAGTTAGGCCAACGGAACGGTTAGCTTCCCTCCAACTCTGTGGTTCACTTACAATCAAAGAAAAACTCCTTTTCAGTTGATTCTTGGTCACCCCCTTGGACCCAACCTCACCTTCTCCACAGCAATCTGTCCCTTCCTCCTTCCAAAACTTTCCATATAAAAAACACTACACCTTTTCGTCACTTTTAATCCCATGCCATATTGGTGCCAATTGAAAACCCATCCGGTTTTTTCTTTTTTCTTTACCAAAGAGCAAATTCTGGTGCCTTTAGTTGTGGCTTCTTTGTTGATATAAAGTTTCTTCATTTATTTAATTTCCCTTGCTTCCGGGGGGGTTGGTTTTTGGAGATTGTGATTAGTTTCAAGAGAAAGTTCCCTTCTGCATGATCCACCAGCTTTACTCCCCAGGGTATTTGCTTTTTGGCCTCACTGAAATCTCATGACTATTCTAATCCTAGAACATGAAAGTTTTTTCCCGGTACTAATTTTGTGATTGCTACCTAGCTTCATGAGTTTTCTGCCTGCATAATTCTTGTCCACAGTTTGTACCTTTTCTTGAGAATCGAATGCTCATTCATTATAATTAATAAGGAAAAATGCCTGCTACTTGGCTTTGAAAATTTCTCCAGTGAATACTCGGCAGCCATTTCAAGCAGATTCCTTATGCAATTCGACTTCTGCAGCTCCTTCAAATCCTCTGGGAGGTGAAGATAGGATGGCTGTAGGAGTGCGAAGTAGGTCTACTCGTGCTCCCCCTTCTTCACTCTTGATAAGAATGGCTATGAGGATATCAAGAGCAAGGTGGTTCTCCTTCTTGAGAAGAATTTTTCATTATGAGAATGGGTCCAGATCTGATCTTGGGTCCAATCCTTTCAATTCTAGCACTTGGATGATGCTGGAGTTCTTGGCTTTGGCTATTCAAATAACCATCATAACCTTCACTTTGGCCATATCCCAGAGGGAGAGGCCTGTTTGGCCTATGAGACTCTGGATTGTTGGATATGATAACGGCTGTGTTCTCAATCTGCTGTTACTCTGCGGGCGTTATCACCATGTTCACATGAGTTTAGGAGATGGTTTTGGCCTTTCAGATCTGGAACAACAAAGGGGAAATGAAGAATCCAGGTAAACTTTATATTTTCTGTTGAAAAGTGAATTCCTTGGATGCATTGTCATATTCAAACTGATGTTGGGATGAAAGGGATTCCTATTATATATATCATCTTTGTGGATTGTAGAATTTCAAATCAATTTAACATTTGATATATATCATCTCAAAGCACAAAACTTTCTCTTCACACCAATCAATTTAGTATATATTTGATGTTTCTTTGAAAATTAATGTTTGATCGGTACGAAAACTAAGGATGAGGAAATCAACTCATTTTACACTTTGCCATATTTATTCAGATATGGGATAGAAGAGATTCCTAATGTATATCATCAATATGGAGTATAGAATTTCAATCAAATGAGTAATTAATGATCCTTGAGAATGTTCCATTAGATCAAAATTTAAGAAAACCCCCTTCCAAGGTATTATTTGGGACTTTCACCGCTTTTGGGAAGGCATTGACTTAGTTTCCTTTAAAGTTTTGTTGTTTTCTTGGAAACAATTGCTTATTTAATCTTTATTGTTGATAAATGATATATAGTATGTACAGGAGCACGCATTTGATGAACAAATGTCGGACTTCACTTGAGCTGTTTTTTGCAATATGGTTTGTGATGGGAAATGTTTGGGTGTTTGATTCCTGGTTTGGACCATTCCACCATGCTCCAAATCTCCATGTTCTCTGCATCTCTTTGCTAGCCTGGAATGCTCTCAGCTACTCATTCCCATTCCTGTTGTTTCTATTTCTATGCTGTCTTGTGCCATTGATCAGCAGCCTACTTGGGTACAACATGAACATGGGGTCAACTGAGAAAGGAGCATCTGATGATCAAATTTCCCAGTTACCTAGCTGGAGATACAAAGCAGTCAATAACGGTGTAGATGTTGGCAATGAAGTAGACTGCAATCCAACCCATGAAATTGAAGATGATCTGGTAAGTCATTAGCCTGAATAACAGAGTCCTGGAATCTTAATTAAAGCCAAAGCCAGCTAACTTGTGCTTGGAATTAACACAAACAGGAATGCTGTATCTGCCTTGCCAAGTATAGAGTCAAGGAGGAGGTGAGGCAGCAGCCATGTTGTCATATATTTCACCTCAAGTGTGTGGATCAGTGGCTCAGAATCATCTCTAGTTGTCCTCTGTGTAAACAAGAACTGAAAAGGTAGAAAAGAAAGCAAGATGATGAACAACAAGTGGTGATTCTTCACCATTTTTTTCTCTCCAAGTTTCTTCCTTTGGTTTGTATATTTTGCGAGGTTTCTCTACCTGAGTGAGTTTTTGCATGTATTTACAATGTTGCTCACCACTCCAGTAACCAAAAGGAAAAGCAAAACAGAACTCCATACATAAACACAAGTATAGATTGTAGGAATCTGTATAGCAGAAGAAAGATACAGGTACTGAAAGACACATCCAATTGTACCAACATTACGCTTGCATTTCATTCTTGTGTATTCCAAAACCATCTTGGTCTTGTTAAAGCTGAATTTTCTAAAGATGAATGAATTGCCAGGCAGGGCGGTGTTGATATTATATGGCTTTGATCAATTGGGTTTACAATTTGCTCTCTCAAAAAAAAAGGGTATTCCGTTAGTAGGTATTTGGCCTTGCTTTATTTTACACTTTTGCAATTGCATTGAAATTAGAATTAATTGAAAATGTATAAACATTTTTAATGAATACAATAAAAATTGTTCTAATAAAAATCAAGAAAAAAAATTAAAAACCAATAGCATTTAAAATATTTAAAATATTAATCTGGACAAATTTGAGATGATAATAATGTTGATTATTTAAGTTATTTCTTAGGACTTGAAATCAACTCTTGAGATGATGGTTACCTTCTCTTCCAGGAAAAGTTTGCATCTAATCTTATCTTTAGAGATGGATTGATTGACAGTAAGACTGCTTCAATACCTCTTGAACCAAATACTCAATTTACATTCATGGATGGTTTTCCACTCAGATCCTACTGTGTATCCATAATTAGTTAGAGTTTGATTTATCTCGTTGTAACACACTCTGATATAGTATATTCAGTTTATATTGTTAGTCAATTTATTATTGTCCCTCACTCTACTCATTATATAGATGAACTTCGTACTACAAGCAGCAATTTCACCAAGTGTTTTCACACTTAAACTGGTTCCTTCATTTTGTATGTATGTACATATGCACTTATAGAGTTGTAAGACATGTTCAAGAAATACA